TCCTCTTCCAACAAACTACATACTTGCGACACGTCACTCAAATCTTCATACGTTTGAGCGATGATAAAACAGAGAAACAAACAGAAAACAAAAAAGTTAAACCAACAATCAGATCGTATTTCGTCAGCATATTAAATCATGCTGAGCTACGGGTAAACGTTAGAGGCCAACGATAGTTAAAGAGAAAGAAAACGAAAAAAAGTCTGCATACAACAATAAAAAAAGTGCAAGAACTCACCCGATCGACAGCAGCTAAGCTACTATAGTATATGCAAGTCAGGTACAAGAGCGCACACATACATATGTACATACGCACTGACACTTATACGAAAGCATACACGTGTAGGAAAACATATGGAAACGTTTAAGTACCAATTTGATGGTCAGTCAGCCGTACAGACAATCGATCGTGCCTGCGGCCTGCCTGCCTGAATGAAGGAAAACTACCACTTTGCCAAGCAACCTAGCAACAGCAGCGGCAAGTTGAGTTTAGCTGTGCTGCATATGCATTCTGCATTAAGCGAACGCACGTTTGGCAGCAGTTCTGGAACTCTCCTTCTTGCGGATCTGATGAAATCGCATAATTCGATAATCATAATGCAAGTGATCACATGAAGCCATGGTCGGGAATCGAACAAAGAGATTGATTGCCGTATTGATAAGTTTGCGATCAGCAGTGTTGTGCGAGTAAATCAGTGCAAGTGTATGGGTATGGTGTACATATGTATTGCGCCACACAAAAGGTGGCTATGTTGCAAGTGCAAAAACTTAACAAAGGGCAAGAAAGAAATACGAGAACAGGAACCTGTGCCAGAAATTTGACGCAAGACATGCACAAACATGCTGCAAAATACATTTATAAGAACATACATATGTATGTATATACATACTTTTTTCGCAAGCTTCTTGTTTGCCACGATACTGCGCCAGTTAGTCAGTCAGTGCGGTTTGGTAGCCATAATTTCATCATTCGATAAGAGGCAGAGCTAGAGCCCTCCAGCTGAAGAGTAAAACGTTGTTGTGTAGCGCGTATGTATGTATGTATGTTCATATGTACATACGTATGGCTCATTGTCATCCTGCTTAGCTCAGCTGGAACTGGTTTCACATACACTTTGCATGAAGATACACAACATACACTTATGTGTACCTTCGTATGTACATATGTATATCAGATGAAGCCATAGGCGAGGGTGACGATGGTATAGGAGACGGCGACCAAGAAATACATACGAGCTGCAGAAAAAGTCGTGAACAAATAAATTTGAGCCACGACACAAAACACTAGGCAAAACAACTATATACATGTGTACATTAATACATCAGGGCGGTCCAAAAATACACAGGAAAATAAAATTTTTGGAATTTTCCTGCTGCCACCACCAGAATTATAGAAAATCGAACTCGAAAAAACTTCGCATTTTGTATAGTGGGTCCATATACACCGTCGGAATCTTTATTATTGCCCGAAAGAACAATCTCTGACATTTACGTTTTAAAAATAACACTAACGCGACTACACTGTAGGTGGTCCATTCTGAAGCTCCAATTTTCAATTATTTTTAGCTGCATAGTGCGAATTACGCGAGTAATGTTGAAAGTTTTGAAACCAAATGTTGCCGACATCGCGGTTTTCAATTTCAGACAACAAAAAGCTCGTCATCGTAGTGCGGTGGCGCTCGCCATTAATGGTATCTTCTGTCTGCGACCAATATTTGAATGAAATTATTTTGAAAAAGTAAATGTCAGAGATTTTTTTTCAGGTAATAATAAAGATTCCGACATGCTGTTCTGTTTTAATTAATTTATTTAGAATTAAAGAAAATTTCTAGATGAATCACCCTATATTTTTGAATCGGCTAAATTTTTAATCGTGCCGCCGGGCCTTTGAAGTTTTCCATGCATCTTACCTGGGAAACATACAATGTTTGTAGAATTGCCATAAAGTCGTTAAAAATAAATATTTTTTAATCGAATAAGTCTATCTCACTTCAGAAGTTGCCAAGGAAAAAACGGTGATGCCTGTTTAGCTTTAAAATTTTGCAAACTATTTTTCCCTAACCTATGATCTTGTCTCTATATACAGGAATGTGTTATTTTGTATTCGTAATCGCAATACGCACGAACAGCTCAACGCATTTGTTTATTTTTTTTTTTTAATTATGCATCATAATTTTATTTCATGAAGATTTCTGAAGTTAAAGTATCTTATTTGACCCAAAAATTTTAATTTTTAATGATTTTATAGCAATGCTACAAAAAATGCATTTCCTTCATCCAAAAGTAACTTAAAATCTGTGGCAGCGCTATTAAAGATCAACAAAATTCAAACTAAATAATGCAGGACTCGAATGGCAACATCCGTTCACGGATCAAAAACCATACGAAAGAAAATGACGCGATGCGTCATTCGTATAAGCTGAATGGTATAAAGAGAACGTTCACGTTTGTCATAATCCGAAAAAATGTGTTTCAACGTGACGACCAAGGCGAATATATATAAGGTGGTATCGATTCAACAAATACAACAATTACTTGTATTTTGTTTTTGCTTTTAGCGGGCCATTGTCAAATTTCAGCTATTCTTCGCCGAAGGAAAAAGGGCGACAGAAAATACAAACACTCTCACGTTTTCACTCACTCACTAGCGAAATACAAAATTTTGACAATCAAACGCTACTCACAGCTGATGAAACAACACCACCTTATATAAATTCGCCTTGGTGACGACTAATATCATATCGTATGTGACGATTAGAGCCCAGGTCTCTTAGTTTCGATATTCTGCAGTTCTGGTGGGTAGTTAAAAAAAATTTTTGAACTACCCTAATGTGCATACTATACTACATAAAAAAAACTAAAGAAGCATTGCTGAAGTGCAGGCAGAAATTTGAACAGACAAACCAACTTACATAGCTACATACCTACTTTTATGACAATATATAAACAATATTTACATACATACATACTCATATATCGACATATATGCATATAGAGCCTGTCAGACGAGACAATGCAATATATTTCGAAAAGGCTGTCGAATTGGGAAATTTTAGAAAGCTGTTGCATGAGGACTCATAACTTGCATGTAAAGTGTCTTTCGAAAGACGTTTTTTTTTTCTATTTCTGAAATGCGAATTGCAGATCGCTAGTGCAGCACGAGCAAGTTGAAATATATTTCCAAAATTGATTTGCGCTCTCTCAATTGCAGTCACATCTTGCAACTTTTATTTTTGAAACTAATTTACGAAATGTGACAGAAAGGTCTTTCTGGCTGTTCACACATCGAAATAAAATTTAATTTTCTCAATTTTACAGTGAATTGCGTGGAAAAGTTTGAAATATTGCCACGTCTGGCACGCTCTTATGCACTCTATAAAAATGTACATGTGCATTCATATCAACCTTAAGATATCTACTCATAAGTATGTATGTATTCTCCACAGAGTCGTAAAAAACATATGGAACTATATCTGTATATCTTGTTGTCTATATGCATGTCCGCTTTTGTTGGTCATACGAAAAACATATGATTACCACAAGCTGAGTTGAGCTCAGCCCCTCCCTCGCGTCCCGTTTTAGTTCAAGTCTCAGGTTACACAGTGTGCCAGCAAAAGAAAACGAAATAAAAAACAACACAATTGTAAAACAACAAATTTCAATGATAATAAAAAAATTGGAAAAGGAAACAAAATTGAAGAGCAAAGCTGGGTAAAGCAGAGTACCACGCAGAACTGAGTAGAAGAGGCCGTATTGGCACAAGCCCTTCTTCCTCCTCAATTCGATGGGTATATATGTATATATTTAAATAAGATGTACTCATATACATATGCATCAACATACTTGGATGTATGTACATTGAAACGTTTCGAGGCTTCACTAGTATGGCTGTTAACTGACCATACAAAGTAGATCTACATATCGACGGCTGAGTGGAAGATCGACCTGTCTCGGCAGCCAGTTAAAAACGCTCTATCTCAGAAAAAGTTTCAAGAACGCCCTATTTCAGAATTAGGTTCAGAAACGCCCTATCTCAGCTGCCAATTCAAAAACGCCCCATCTCAAACATATTTTCAGTTGAGATAGCGCGTTTTTGAACCAAGTTCTGAGATAGGGCGTTCTTCAAGCAATTCTGAGTGAGGGCGGGCGTTTTTCAATCAAATTCTGAAGTAGCGTGTTCTTGAAAAGTTTACTAAGATAGCGTGTTTTCGAATCGTCTGCCGACTTCAAAATACCAAACAATTAAAAAAATTCAGAAACTGTTGAACCTGCACTACTTAGTATGTGACTGGTGCAAGGCGAACCTTCATTTCAAAAAACCTTTGGATACATCACCAAGCTAACCAAATTTAGTAGCCCCCAGATATATCCGTAGAGTTCTCGTTAACGCTGGACATAGCATAAAGGAGATGCAAAAAAGTTGTATTTCGCCTAGCTTCAGGCATGTACTGCATTCGACACTACCAATGAATTTTATCTTGAAAGCGTGTGCCAAAAGTAGATAATGGCATATCGGTAAACCAGTTGCTGTTCTGCAGAAATCGCATCGAAAGTGTTTTCGGAAGAAAGTTATGACTAGAGGGATTTTGATAGGTAGGCGTACTTGGTTGCATTTTTTAAATATTTTTTTTTTTAAGAAATGGGGTAAGATACAACAGTTTATACGCGATATTGCATTGAGTGACGTGGGCTCAAGTCCCAGTTAAGTCAAGAAAGCCTTCCTCAAAGATTATTAACTCGAACTCGTTACAGGACGAACTATGTAAATGGCGATTTTGGAGTAGGCGCTAAGTTGTTGGCCAGTTTTGTAGATATTTAAATGTATGAAACAAAGGACGATTATAGCCTCCTAAGAAGACGTTTGGAAAGAGCATTAACCATCTGGGCAACTATAATAAATTTATATATAATCCCGGTGATCATATTTATGACAGCCGGATACGGGATAAAAAATCATTTTGCTATATTTTCCACAAAATATAATAGATCTTAAACCTATCTCCAATAATTTTAGATTTATTAGCCCTGAACCAAAATCCTTATTTGACATACGTTTTTCGATATTTTGTGAAATCGCATACAGATGTACATAAATATTCAGTAGTAACATCACCAAATTATAGGATATTATTCGATAACTTCATGTTTTACGCGCGGGATTTTTACCTCCCCGGAAATTTCGACTGTGCCGTACAAAACCGGACGGATGGTCACCGTATGTATAATCATTTTGTTAAGAAGCTGCGTTTCAAGGTATGGCTCCAAGATTCGATTCATGATAGTAGACGGGCCTTTTCATTTAAACGCTCATATGGGTCTACGCATCAACAACACCGTACGGCATCTTATTTATGGTGTTTTAGGCGCTTCTGGCTGCCAGTTAAGTCCATTATAATTTCATGGTAAATCTTTCTAAAATCGTGTCATGCTGTGGTGCGTAACAGTGCCTAGAACAGGGATTATTACAGCATTTTAAAGCATTCTAAATATATGTAAATACCTGCTTTTCAGGAAATCTTCAAGATTCATTCTCAATAGCACATTTTGGCTTTAGCCTGAAGCTGGCTTACGGCGGATATCAAACACTTTGCCAGTGTCAGCTTACTTAAATGCCTCTTTGTCTGCACAAAAAAAAAAGAAAGGAAATCGAGCTATGCGGGAGACATTTTAAATCTTAAAAAAACAGCACACAAAGTACATACTAAGTAAAGAAATACTGCTGTGTAGGTACATATAAAGCTTGCAGAATCAATGAATATAGTACATAACAGTATGAAGCAAAAGACGGTAAAAAAGTGGTCTGAAAGGGGGTGAAAGAAGTTGCCATTTTGGTAAGGCAAAAACAGCTGAGGAAGTAAAAATGTATGATAAATATAGGTACACAGAGTGCACGGCAGTTGAGTGTAAATGCTTAGAATCGAGAGAAAGGGAAAAGGCGAAGTATAAAGAAATAAGTTTTTCTGGACCGCAAATAGGAAGTGCAACAACGACTTGCAGAGTATGTGTCGCCGGCATGCGCATTGACTGCGTTGAGTTTGGAGTGAAAATATGAGTTTGAGTGGGTTTACATTATTTAAGAGCAACATTTTGGCGACTCAGACAACAATGCTCTTTTCATGGCAAACCCAGTAGAAATTAAAATCTCTTCGGCGGTTATATATGAAGATGTTAGGGAATAAACAACTGAGCAAATGTTGAGCTGTTTTAGGTTTATTGAGAAGAGAATTGAGCAGTTACTCAAGTGTTGCATTTACATGCATTTTTATCGAGGAAGAGCGAAATTCATTGCTCAGCTGTGCAGAAGGTATGTAGATATATGTGACCTGGTCTACGAAAAGGGAGCTTACGTGCGAAAACTAGTTTTCTGTGAAAAAGCTGTTAAAAGTAAGCAACTCGTTTCGAAGCTTAAACCGGCTGACATCGAAAAAGCCATCCAGCGAGACGAAGTCCTCAATTTATCGAAAATACATTTCTTCACTCAGTGATGACGAATTGAAGATGAGTAATTGCAGTTTTCGACGGATATGGTCCAAATACATACCCCATGTTACAGTTATGAAACCAGCGGATGATCTCTGCGATGTCTGCCGTGGTAAGTAGCTCATTATTTTCTCATTTTATAGTTGTATCAAACGTTGAGATTAAATTCAGTATTTTTTTCTTTTAATAGGAAACACAATATCGATTGCGCAAGCCAAAGGTGTTACTGACATTGAACGCGCACAGAAGCTTAATCAATTTCTTGATCACCTCCACCGAGCCCGAAATCAACGAGAATATTATCAAAGTTGGTGTAGAAATACTGACCCTACAGCAGTCGTTCTGTCATTTGATTTTGCCCAAACCGTTCACTACCCTGTCAGTCCACAACAACCTGGTACAGCATACTTCAAAGCAACCAAGAAGTGCGGAGTCTTCGGAATTACAGACGAAAAACAAAAAGTTCAGGTTAGAATTTCAAACTGAATCATAGGAACTCAAATTGCTCGCC